CTTAGTGAGATGCCAAGGGAAAAGCTATGATTGATCAAGTATGATTGAATGTATGTTTTGTTTGAATTTAGATTTTCCATCAATATTTATTTTAGAATTTTATCCTATTAACATTTGCCCTTACAAAATTTTTTTCTTTATTGACTAGCTAAATATTATCAACATTAGTAGTTTTCAAGAACTGACACTTTTTAAACTTTTATTTATACTGAATAAGTTATTCGATAATATCTGTTGATTTATTAACTTATATATTCATGTAATATGTACACGCGCAAAGCGCGTATCCTAACACTAGTCATCGTTAATTATGTGTTGTAGTTTGAACGACCACAAAGTTTAATAAAGTAATGTAAACTTTTGGATACGTCGGTCTTAAATATTTCATATGAAATATTAGAATTAAAGACTTATTATCTTCGTTTTATTTTATGTGTCTTAATTTGATTGGCTACAAAATTTAAGAAAGTAAGGGAGACTTTAAATTTTGCGGTATTAAATTAAAGTTCTGAATAATAAACTAATTTTTTTAATATGTCATGTGAGGTTGGAATTAAAGAGTTACTATTAAATAGAAAGTGAATATTCTTTGCAGGACTAGAAAAGAAAGTATAACATATAATGAAGGCATAATACATAAATAAGCCCTCAAATTTGGCCTTAGTTGGCAAGTATGTACTACAACGTTGGGTATGTACAAGTAGACACGTCAACTTGTATAAAGTTGAACACGTAACAGAAATGCTGATGTGGCACTGACATGACAAGTAAATTTTGGAGGTATCTAGATGATTATTTTGTAAGTTGGAATGTTCAACTGGAAAAATGGAGTTAAGTTGAGGTGCCTACTTGTGCATACCCAAAGTTTGAGGGCCTGTTTATGCATTATGGCTAAATCGAAAGAGAGTGAATTCTTGTTAATATAGCTTCTTAAACACAAATATGTGTGCAGTTTCTTGGAGAAAAGAATTTCAAACAGAAAATTCCAGCAGTAAAAATAGAAGGAGAAGAAATTACAGATGAAGTTGCCACAACTTCATTGCGTAGAGCTGTTCATTTCTTTTCAGCATTACAGGCTAGTGATGGTCATTGGCCTGCTGAAAATGCCGGTCCTTTGTTCTTTCTTCCACCTCTTGTAAGTTTTTTCATTTGTAATTTTACTTCTCTTTTCTTTCAAAAATTGAAGCATGGATATGTTAAAGCTAATTCTTTGTTCATTTTCTTGGGACCCAAAATTCAGGTTATGTGTATGTACATCACTGGCCATCTTAATACTGTTTTCCCAGCCGAGCATCGTACGGAAATTCTTCGGTATATATACTGTCACCAGGTGCTTGACTTAATGTTTCAATGAGTATATCATACTACCCAAGTTTGCTTTGCATATTCCCAAATAGTTTAAGTGAATATTTAACTTTTATACACTGATAATATAAACTTTTTTACCCTTTAGATAGTGTACACCGTCAGCACATAGAAGTTAAACTCATTTTTGAATTACTGACTTCAGAATGAAGATGGTGGATGGGGTTTGCACATAGAAGGTCACAGTACAATGTTCTGTACAACATTGAATTATATTTGTATGAGGATCCTCGGGGAAGGACCGGATGGTGGCGAAAACAATGCTTGTGCTAGAGCAAGGAAATGGATTCTTGATCATGGTAGCGTCACCGCGATTCCTTCCTGGGGCAAAACATGGCTCTCGGTATGATTAAACGCCCTAATGGAGTAATTGTTAGAAGAATGTATATTATAGTAGGATATAAGTTATATACACAGACAATGTACAGAAATTTTACACTATCAGTGTGTATTAACCTGTTGAAGCAGGTAACCTATCTTATTTTCTACGTTCCCACTTATTCTGAGGCAGATACATGAACTTATTGGTTATATGCTACAGACGCATCTGTACTTATTGTGGACGGTTAATTGTAGTTGTTATTTAGGTGACCTGATTTTGTAAAAAATCCTTTTTATGGTTAGTGTATAAAGTTAAACTCGGTAAATTATATCATTCTCCATTGTCAAGTAAACCTTGTAGTGTCATGTAAATTATATCTTTTTACTGATAAATCTTCCTTCTTTCATTCAGATTCTTGGAGTTTTTGAGTGGTTAGGAACTAATCCAATGCCACCTGAGTTTTGGATTCTTCCGTCTTTTCTTCCCATGCATCCAGGTTGGTCAATTTTTTTCTTTATTGCTCATGCATTAGTGTACATCCTAAAATTTTCAGTTCATTTATCGTAGATATTAATTTACGGGATTTGCTACGCATTGTTTTCTGGTTGATGCCATTTTCTATAAGTGTCGATCTATCGATCTACCAAGTATCTTGATTCTTAATTTAAATGCAGCAAAAATGTGGTGTTACACTCGAATTATGTACATGCCACTGTCTTATCTCTATGGGAAGAGATTTGTTGGTCCAATCACACCTCTCATTTTGCAATTGAGGGAAGAGTTATATGATCAACCATACGATGAAATTAACTGGAAAAAAGTACGCCATTTATGTGCAAAGGTATTGCTATTAAGGGTCGTGTGATTACCGATATTAGAAAAATAATCTCGACATAAAATTCGATGTTGTTTATCCATGTTTAACTTTCTCTACACCAAACGAGTCATCAGTATTGAAGTTAGTGTCTACATCATACCATCTTCTACAAATGCTCAAACACAAACTTGTTGTTGTAGGAGGATCTCTATTACCCTCATCCATTGGTACAAGATTTGATGTGGGACAGTCTCTACATATGTACCGAGCCTCTATTGACTCGTTGGCCTTTCAACAAGCTGAGAAATAAAGCTCTTGAAGTTACCATGAAACACATACACTATGAAGACGAGAGTAGTCGATACATCACCATCGGATGTGTGGAAAAAGTATAGAAACTAATTCATTTTGAACAGATTACAAAATTACCTGCATTTTGTTAATGACTTCAATTGTTAGACACTGATGTAACACTTGGATGGTGTAGGTATTATGCATGCTTGCTTGTTGGGTTGAGGATCCCAACGGCGATTATTTCAAAAAACATCTTGCTAGGATCCCAGATTATTTATGGGTAGCTGAAGATGGAATGAAAATGCAGGTTGGTTGATCTGAATTGTACTATTTCACAAACCACAATGAGTTAAGAATAAAATCTCTTTTACACGTAACGAGTGTTCATGAAATAAAAACTCTAGCCCCCTTTTCCTATTTTGAAGTGATGCAAACAATTGTTACTGAAATTGGCGAGTGTTTGACATCGGATTGCAGAGTTTTGGTAGTCAACTATGGGATACTGCCTTTGCTATACAAGCACTATTGGCCAGTGAGATGAATGATGAGATATCAGATACTCTTAGAAAAGGACATGACTTTATAAATAAATCTCAGGTTTGGATGTCTAAATCATGAGCATAACAGCTCTTTCAAAATATGGACCTTATTAATGTATGTGACTTTTAGGTGAAGGCCAACCCTTCTGGTGATTTTAGAGGGATGTATCGGCACATCTCAAAAGGATCATGGACTTTTTCAGATCAAGATCATGGATGGGGAGTATCTGATTGCACTGCCGAAGCATTAACGGTATCTAACTATTCAATGAAATAAGATTTTAACTTCTTGTAATTGCTGGAAAATGTTAAGATGATAATGCTAGTAAATTTGCTTGATATTTTTTTCTTCCTGTTTTCCTCTAGTGCTGCCTTCTCTTCTCTACAATGCCCTCTGAATTAGTTGGTGAGGCAATGGAACCTGCGCGACTGTATGACGCGGTGAATGTTATTCTTTCCTTACAGGTAAACAATGAAAAATGTGTCCTTAAAACATTAGTCATTTTGAATTTGTTTTCTGCTTGTAAAAAGTTCCAAGAGAAACATATGTCTTACACCGAATAGAGAATCCAACACATGGCTACCTATGTTATAAATTCATCTTTTCTGAATTTAGTCGCTCATCATTTGAATCATTTCTAGTAATAATAAGATCCATTTAAATAAAATTGCAGAGCAAAAATGGGGGTTTATCAGCATGGGAGCCTGCAGGGGCCTCAGAGTATTTGGAGGTAACTTTTTCACGATATAGGAATTTTGTCTATTTGCTTCATTTCAAGGATGTTAAAAACCTTCAACTTCTTCTATAGTCTTCCAAAACCTGAATAATTAACTTTCTTGTTCTGTTTTATAATCTGACAGTTGCTCAATCCTACTGATTTTTTCGCTGACATTGTTATTGAGCATGAGTAAGATTTGTTTCTCTCTTTCCCTTTAGATTTTTTCCCATTATTAGTCTCCATTTACAGCTTCACAATGATTAAATGTCAATCCAGGTATGTTGAGTGCACTAGCTCGTCAATCCAAGCACTTGTTCTGTTTAAGAAGCTATACCCTGGACACCGAACCAAGGAGGTTGACAATTTCATTGCTGACGCTGTTAAATATGTTGAAGATGTACAGATGCCTGATGGTTCATGGTATATGATATGACCCTTGCGAGCCCTTGAACTTGCAACATATAATTCCTTTCTGCTCTATCGATACATATGACATGATTAATCTTGTTAACAGGTATGGTAACTGGGGTGTGTGCTTCACATATGGTTCCTGGTTCGCGCTTGGAGGGCTTGCTGCAGCAGGCAAGAGTTACAGCAACTGTACAGCTGTCCGTAAAGGCGTTGAATTTCTGTTACAAACACAAAGGTCTGATGGTGGTTGGGGAGAAAGCTGTCGTTCTTGCCCAGACAAGGTAATGTAAAAGCAAAAAAGGCTATGTAAAACAACAACAACAACATATGCGTCTCAATCTATATATTGTTATGAAATCTATATATGCATCCTGCTCCATTTGGAGCCGTTTCATTCCAATACTGAATAATTTAAGCGGAAAAGGCCTAAAAATGCCACTCAACTTTCAGAAATGGTCTATTCATGCCATCCGTTAAAAAAATGCTCATTTCATGCCACTGCCGTTACACATTTGGCCCATCCATGCCATTATTGACTAACGGCTCAATTTTTATTTTTTTTAATATTTATAACACCCACATTTCCACGTGTCCTATTGTTATTGGTCCGAAATAACCCATGCCCCACTTAATTTTAACCTTGGTTAGGTCCACCTACCCAAACCCGACCCGGTTAAAACATACCCAAATCAATAACCCAACCCAAACTCTTCATACCAAATCCCCTTCTCTCCGGTCGTCTTCCCCAAGATGTAAAAGGTGCTGGCAAAGAAGTAATTCGGAGAAGAAAGAAAAGAAGTTTACGCCGCCATTATCGTCCTTAAACCAAAATGGAAAGCCAAATTTCTTCATGCGTGCGGTGAGAAAAGATGGAAGGTTAGAGTTGACAGAGGTGAAAATTGGTCGGCCCGAAACTCTCCTTGCTTCTGGCCAAGATGGACGACTGAAATTACATATTCGTGATGAAGAAGAAGAAACAGAAGAGGAAAACGAAGATTTCCCCCTGGACGATGAAAAAGAGATGATTGTAACAATTCAAGAAAATGATGAAGAAATACTTGAAGAAGAAGAAGAAGAAGAAGAAGAAGACAAGGTTGCAGAGTGGAAGTTTCCAGCGACAAGCGGTGGCAGTGGAGATGTTGTTCGGAGAAATTCCCATGTCTAATTTCTGGAACTGGAAAGGGGGGATTTGGAATGGGTTGGGTTGGGTTTGGGTTGATTAATGGGGTAATAAGTTAACCGGGGTTGGGTTTGGGTTAATCGACATAACCCAGGTTAAAATAATGTGGGGCATGGGTTAATTCGGACGAATGAGGACATTACACGTGGAAATTCTGGGGTTTAAAAAAATTTTAAAAAAATAATTTTGTGCCGTTAGTTCATTAATGGCATAGGTGAGCCATATGTGTAACGGCAGTGGCATGGAATGAGCATTTTTTTAACTGATGGCATGGATAGACCATTTCTGAAAGTTGAATGGCATTTTTAGGCCTTTTCCGTAATTTAAGCGAAGGTTTCAATTAACATGAACTTTTCCCCTTAAAGAAGGGGAAATGTAAAGATGACTGTGGAAAAGACAACTGTGACTCAGCTTTGTATTTGATCAAAACAGGTATACAGAGAACTTGAAACAGATCACTCCAATCTTGTACAAACTGCATGGGCATTAATGGGATTGATTCACTCTGGCCAGGTGAATTCCTTGTAATTTATTTCACAATCACAGTAAAAAAATTCTTCTTCAAAAGAGTGACTAATTTACCAACTTCTCCATTTGGACAGGTCGATAGAGATCCGAGGCCCCTCCACCGCGCAGCAAGGCTGTTAATTAATTCTCAGTTGGAAGATGGTGACTTCCCGCAGCAGGTAATGACTTTGCAAATTACAAGCTAAATAAAGGAGAAAATTCTTCGACCGTTAGATCAAGCTGTAAAGTTTAGAATAGACATAGATGATTCATATAGTCGACTCAAACTAGTTTAGAATTTGGTCGTATTTGGTTGATATTGATTAAAAATTTATATAATTGAACAAGCTGTTTCAAACAATATCTAAAAGAACAGAGATTACTGAAACCAGTTTTATCAAAAATTTGCTTTTATCTGACTTGTGTTTCACTTCATAAATATGTGCAGGAAACAACTGGAGTTTTTGGGAAGAATTGCATGTTGCACTATGCTTTATACAGAAATATATTTCCATTGTGGGGTTTGGCAGAATACCGCAAAAATGTTTTACAAAACAACTAAATATATTTGAATGCAACCTTCTTCAGAGAGAGATATAGTATGCCATTTGGTCCTTATAAAAATTTCCAGAAAAAATGTAGTTTATTTTTTCTTGTGTTAATGTAAGTGATGTAACAATGTCAAAAATCATAGCCTAAGCTATTGTTGTATGCATATTTAGTGAATCAAAAAAATTATAAGTTTGCTAATTTATGTAATTCTTTTCTTTTTTTTATTCTCCTAGTATTTTTTTTTTTTTACTTCTTACTTCTTAGTATATTTTCCAACTAGAACCATGGATCACATTAGTAGTCCTATAGCCCGTTTGGCCAAGCGTTTTTCTTGGCCAAAAGTGTTTTTTTTTTAAAAGCTAAGGGTGTTTGGCCAAGCTAAGGGTGGTGGGCCGCTTCCTTTACACATATGGTTAGCCGCTTTGAGATCGTAGGAACCATGCTGATGTATTCCATTTCTTTGTTTATATATTGAGGGCTAGACTCGTAACTTTGTTTATTCATTCATAGCGTCTTAGAAGCTACGATCCATACATAGACGTGTATTATTTTGGGTTACGGGTACTCGAGTTGAGTTGCTAGTGATATTTATAATTATTGCTCATTCTATATTATTAATTTTTATTTTACTTTATCCATTTGATAATGTCATTAATTAAAAAAATTGGATCACGTGGATGCGAATTGGATATGTATTACATTATTATGGTTCTTCGGTGCTAGTTGCAACTAACCTGTCATTAGTGCATATCAAGAACAAATTTTTATGGTTTCATGATTAAGTGATATATATTCTTGTTTTAATTTTTAACTGTTAATATTTGTACTCCTCATTATAAAGTTAATTAATGCACGGTAGACACAACAAAATAAATAATTCTGCTAGAGAAAGATAAAGATTTGAAGCTGGTTCGCTGACCAAGTGTCGCGACCCCAAATCCAGTACGGGTCGTGATGGCGCCGGACACCGTTGTCAGGCAAGCCAACTAAATCATCAATTAAATTCTCTTCTAATAACTTTGAAAATCTGAGAGTTTTACTTCCATTTTTCATAAATAAAACAACCTTTGTTTCAATTCAAATGAAGAAATAACTGTTAATACACATCTTTCAAAGAAAACCATCCCAGAACCCGGTGTCACAAGTGCATGAGCAACTACCGATAAGGAAAATAAAATACAATATCTGTCCGAAATACAGTGGACAGGGAATGAATAAATAAAGAACTGGAAGGGAACTACACTAGCTGCGGGTCGTCTCGAACAGTACAGCTCACCTAGTCCCCGGATCATCCGTGCTGCCATCTAATGTAAAATATACCTGTGCAACAGAAATGCACAGAAGTGTAGTATGAGTACGTAATCAACATGTACTCAGTGAGTATCCTGCCTAACCTCGAAGGGGTAGAGACGAGATGGTCAACCTGGACACTCACTAGCGGTCCAATGACAATAAGCTAAATATGCGAGGAAATCATGAATTCATATAGCAAGTTTTAATTCGCAAAGCTGCAAAGCACGTAAACACCTTGTAACAATTAACAAGGATTTTCAAGAATTTACTCTCTTCATTTTTTTATCAATTCATCCCAAGCCATGAAAGGCAATGTCATCATTTAAGATTTCTCATGCATCAATATATAAAGAAATATCATGCGCAAATAATACCGAGGCGACGACCCGATCCAACAGAAAATAAATGTGCACTTGCCGAGGGTCGACGGCGCGCCTATAGATGCATCTATTTCCCCGCTCGCGAATTAGTCATGCGACGCGGTTAACATAAAATAAACACATATCCTGCTCGCGAATCATACATGTGACGCATGTACACATAGAGATACATGCTCAATCAATCAAGTAAGAACTCATCAGGGAGTGTTTATCAATATAAAAATCAATTCCTCTTTTAACCAATTTTACAAGTAAGGTTAAACCCCTTTAGAAATTTATTTACGAATCTCATGTGATATAAGCAATTCAAGCTATCAAAGAGTTTACAAATAATCCAAGTATTCATGCTTTTGGGTCCTAGCTACCCGGACAATAGCATACTAGTAGCTACGCACGGACGCTCATCACCTCGTGCGTACGTAGCCCCCACAAATAGGAGCACATAACCAATTATTTCGCCTATGGGGACATTTCCCCCTCACGAAGTTAGAAAGGAGACTCACCTCGCTCCGAAGATCCATGACCGGCATTCTACATTCCTCCGAAGGCTTGAACCGACGCACAATGCACCAAAACTAGCCAATTAACGACAAACTAATGAGAACTTACTCAAATACTTGTTAACAATTCAAATTATACAATTCCCAACTCCGCTTAGTGAAATGACCAAAATGCCCTCGGGCCTACGTGCCCGAAATCCAAAATTTTTCGAAGATAAAGATTACCCATGGCTTCCCTAGCTCAAATATATAATTTACTCCTAATTCGATGCTCAAATTCGTGGCTAAATTCCAAGAATACCATTATCTAGGTTTCCACCAAAAACCTCCATTTTTACACTAATTTTCAAGCTTAAATCCACACATAATTGATGTATTTAACTCAAAAGTGATGGGGATAACTTACCTTAACATAGATGACGAAGTTCCACTCTTGAAGCTCCCCAAAAATCGCCCAAGCCATGAAGAGATGGGAGAAATGAACTCAATCCCACGATTTAAAACAAGGTTCTGCTTCCAGTCATTTCCGCTTCTGCGGAAGCCATACCGCATCAGCGGTTCCGCTTATGCGGTCCAAAGGCCGCTTCTGCGGCTCCTTCCCAAGCCGCCCTTTCTCGCTTCTGCGATGCTCCTTCCGCAGATGCGGTCCCGCTTCTGCGGAACTTTGACCGCATCTGCGGTCCTCAAGCCTTGGACCAAAAACCGCTTCCGCAGCTCCCCGTTCGCTTCTGCGGTGCCGCTTCTATGGTCAACCAACCGCAGAAGCAAAAACACCAGCAACCAGATGCCTTCAGCTCTCTTCCAAATTCCAATTTCGTTCCGTTAACCACCCGGAATCCACCCGAGGCCCACAGGACCCCAACCAAACATACCAACCAATCCCAAAACACATTACGGACTTGCTCGAGGCTTCAAATCATATCAAACAACGCTAAAATCATGAATTACACCCCAATTCAAGCTTTATGAACTTTGAACTTTCCAACTTCTACTTCTGATGTTTAAGCCTATCAAATCACATCCGATTGACCTCAAATTTTGCACACAAGTCATATTTGACATTACGGACCTACTCCAACTTCCGGAATCGGATTTCGACCCCGATATCAAAAATTCCACTTCCGTTCAAACTTCTCAAAAATCTTCAAATTTCTATCTTTAGCCAAATGGCTCCAAAATGACCTACGGACCTCCGAATTCACTTTCGATCGCGCTCCTAACTCCAGAATCACCATACGGAGCTATACGCAGTCTCGGAATCTCAAACGGACATTGATAACATTAAAATGCACTTCAAACCAAACTTATGAAATTCCTTCTAAAATGCTAACTTCCACAATAGGCGCCAAAACACTCCCGGGTTATCCAAAACCCGAACCGGGCATACACCCAAGTCCGAAATCATCATACGAACCTGCTGGATCCTTCAGATCCTGATTCCGAGGTCGTTTACTCAAAAATCCAATCCTAGTTCATTCTTTCAACTTTAAGCTTCCCAAATGAGAATTCTCTTTCTAAATCAACTCTGAACTTTCCGGAACTTAATTCCGACCACGCGTACAAGTCATAATACTCGAAATGAAGCTGTTCATGGCCTCCGACTGCTGAACGGAGCCCTAGGACTCAAAAATGACCGGTCGGGTCATTACATTCTCTCCCACTTAAACAAACGTTCGTCCTCGAACGTGCTGAGAACTATGGTGGAGTAGTCTGAAGTCACCGGTTAACTTCTCACTGTCACGACTGAAAATCTAACCGTGGTAGTGATGGTGCCTATCGTGTTACAAGGCAAGCCT